ACTTTTGAAATTGAAACATTGAAAAATTAATGACTTAATATAGAAAATCCTGATGTCAGTGACAATAATAACAACAACAATAACAATAATAGCAATAAATAATATTAAAAAATCTGCTAACTGGAAAGCACTGTTTTGATTAAACTCATAGGAAAACCTTTGAACAAAGTCCTGAAACTTTCTTCTTCTATAATAATAAATGAGGAATACATTCAACTTATATATGCTGCTGTATCTCACTGAAGTAAAATGAAGTTATGGAAGTTCACAGCTGCTAAAAATTTGACCATTTCCAAACAAACAAACAAGCAGAATAATTAACTGTGTAATAGACAAGGAAAGACAATTATTCCTGGAAAGGTTTACTACTACCAAGAGCAAAATTTGTTACCTTACTGAGTCTGAGAAGATTTTTTTAGGATGCTTTGAGGATTTTTGTGGTTTCTTGGCCTGACAGTGATACCCCAGGCAGTGGCAGAGCTGAAGACCTGGCTCTAGAGCCTCGTTCACTCAGTGCCCAGAGCTGAACTTCCCTAGGGACTGAAATCTCCTAGGATTCTCATCCAGAATGCAGCTCATTCTGCACAGCGTTACTGTGACACCTTTCAGGCAGGTAGAAAAATGAACCCTCTTAGAGACTTCTTTAAAATTGCTTGTAAATTCTAATGAGATGAAGATTCAGGTTTAAAGTGCATTAAATTAAAGCTTTGCTTGATAGATACATAACAGTGTAATGGTGCTGAGCAGAAATAAGGGTCTTTACCATTTTGATGCAATATAAACTGAGAAAATGAACCAAAGATTTTGTGTAGATAATGCTGGTACACTTTTGCCAGGTACTTTGGGATAAAAATACAGATCTAGAAAGATGACACTGATGGATAGCTCTGGATCTACCCATGTAGATAAGGGATCTGGCAGACTTGTATCTGAGATGCTGAATGTATGGCAGTTTGTAGTTGTTGATTGCAGAAATTTAATGCATGTGCATAAAAAACTTTAGCTTTTGCTCTACTGGAATTTTGGGGAAGGGAGAAGGCATCTGAGGAAAGGTATGTGTACCTGTTGATTTGGGTCAGTAACGTTTTTAACAAGTATTATCAGATGTGTCTGTTCTTTGCCTTCAGTTGTTGTGAGGATTTTTAAAAAATAACTGTTAATTTCTTTTTCTCTCTTTGAAATGAATTTATTTTGAAATATTTGTTGTAACGTTAGTTTTAGATGTTTTACCAACACTAAGCAATGAAAACAGACTGTATTTCAGTCTCACTTCTGATTCAGCAGAACTTCCAGATCCTCTTGCTCGTGAATGCACAACCTGCAAGATCTTCATGGCAATAATATATAGAGACATAAACCCACCACTTTCAGTGGTGTTCAAATTGCCTGGCTGATTTCTGCCAAGTGCAGGTCATGTGCTTTTGAAGCCTTGGTATTTTATGTGCTCACATCCAAGTGTGTCTTTCAGAAAGACTAATATCAAAGCAAACATGATGGAGTCATTGTCCCATCTACAGGAGCTGCCTGAAAATATTTTTTCCCTTTCTGAGTAGGTATGAGGAGATCTTTATGACAGGTAGAGGAGCAGTTTTTTTGTACCATCTCTCATTTGTAGTCAGACTCCTCCCAAAAGTTTTTGTTTGAAAGACCTGGAGTCAGAGTTAATTTTCTATCCTATTTCTTGTCTCCTAGCTTTGTACAAAAAGGTGCCAGGGAGCTCTTCCAACACCAGGGAGGAAATAAGAGTCCCAGGGTAATGCAGGGTTCTCACCCTAGAACAAATGTGAGCTGGATTAAACCTGAAAAAGCCTGGGGACAGACTAGATGTCTGGAAAGTTAAATTGCAACTATTCTGTGGAGTTAAGGCCCTAGTTACATGATTTCTTTCTGTGGCACATGAAATGAATAAAACCCATATTTTGTTCAGGGTAGAATGTGTGGGAAATAAGGTTTTTTTTTTATTTTTTATTTTTTTATTTGGAATCACTTTGAAAGGGGTGAAGGGATTCCAGCAAAACCTGACCTACAGGCTGGCAGACTTCACAAACTGATATTGCTGTGCAGGTGGAGACAGCGGTAGATTTGTTGCTTACGCTGCTGCCTCTATTTTTAGTTTCTGACTGCTTGCAAGTTCTGTTTACAAATGTCAGGAAAATGCATTAGGATTATCTGCTTTATTGTAGAGGTAACAAAACGTTGTCCAATTTAGCCAATAAAACAGCTAAAAGCAGGCTCCCTCTGTCGTGGCAGTGTAGCTGCTAAATGAGGCCTCACAGTGGTTTTAAGCTGCCTGCTCTGTTCTTTCCTCATTACTTGTTCCCCACCATTGCTCTGCCTCAGTATGAAGATTGGGATTCTCTGGGGGTATTTTATTCCCATCTGGGAGTAGCTGAAAATGCACTTTGAGAAGGGGGAAGGTGAGGGATGAGCAAGGCCCATCCCTGCAGTGCCCTGCATCGCTCCTGGAGCCCAGCAGTGGTACTGGAGCCGTGAGGAAGGAGCACAATTATTCCTTTGCCCAGGGCTCCCAAATGCTTGGCTGCTAAAAAATACTTCCCCAAGAGCCCTTTCAGCTTCAGTGCCTGGAGTGGGAAGCAGTTGTTTTTAGTGGATGTGGTTGGTCTGTTGCAGTCTCCATTGGTTGGTGGCCTATAATCCAATATTAGGGCTGCTTTCACTGCCACCAGCCTGGATTCGTGGACAAACATCCTGTTTAAGCTGGGATGATTTACTGGGGAGCTTTATGACTGGACTTGCCAGCTAGAAGTTTGTTTTTAAGTCAGGGCTGAAGGTGCTTTAACACTGTTATTTGACTCTGAAAGAAAAAGAAATACATTGCTTGTCCCATTAGAAAACAAGCATGTAAATAAATAATATAGAAATACATCTTTCCAGTGCTTAAAAGGTCTTTATTACTTTTATTATGGCCTTCAACCACTAAAAGTTAGTGTTGTGGGGTACCAGCCCTAGTCATATTCACTAACTAGCAAAAAGGTTTGAGCAGAGTTGTGACACTGTTAGCTAATACTTGTTTTTCATTGCTGTTTTAGATAGCTCAGGACAAACAGATTGTGTGTTACTGCTGTGATAGAATACATAAAATAAAAATAGTTCTCATGCTGAGTTCCCTGTGCTTTAAATATACCAAATATGTCCCCTCAAGCATCCATAAGGTGTGGCTATCTGTATGCAGTTCATCACCAGAGAAATTATATATTCATTTTTAAAGGAACCATAAAATTAGTTTGTTTAAAGTCTGGATCAGAGTTGGGAAAGAAACTGGCAATTTAGTAAAAACTGAGGAGTTAATTCCACTAGAGGGGTAAGCTAGAAATAGAAGTAGGAGTAAAAGTGTTGCTTTGAACTGCATCATATGGAAGCAGCAATGACAGGAACATTGCAGGTTTGTATGTACCTGTGAATCCTCATAAATTTTTTGCAACTTCTGCAGATTCTGAAACTATATGCCTCTAAGGAGGCAGACAATGAAAATTTGATAGGCAATATTATGCAGTGAAGTGTTGAAATTTGCAGATCACTGGCAAGTCTGACCAAGAAATATAGCTTCTTTTTTTACCTAGGGAATGAACTGTGGGAAATTATGGTTTAAAAAATAAGAGTGAGATGTAAATCTACACTGTTTCAATACTCCTCAACTTTGAGAAAATTGGAGTCTGGAGAGCAACCTTGATGACTTTTCTTTCTGTTTTGGCCGAATGTAATGATAAAGTCCAAATATTTGTGACATCTGGCATGCTTGTGACCACACCTAGGTCTTAGATCCAAAACAAAAGGGTTTTTATCACAAGAATTTAATTTCTGTTTATCCAGGTAAGTGCCACAGAAATGCAGCTTGCTGTTATTGAAAAGAACAAATCATAGTGTTTCTCTTCTGCCAAGCTGCTCTCATGAACATGGAGAATTAGATATTGTGTTTGTCAGCCTAAGATTGACAAAGTCAAAGATGAGTCTGTTTTTTTGGTTTATTTGTTTTTTTCCTACAAAGACGTGTTCTTGTTAAATTAGCTGATATCTGTTCATATAAAGAGTAATCAAATCAATCCTTTTAGGCTTTATTTCAAGCCCTCTTAATACTGGAGCTGGAGTTCTGTGGGTTTATTCAGAGAGCAGAGGTTCAGATGGTCCTTCACAAAGCACAGCAATTAGGGTGGAGCTGCTCAGAGCTTGGCTGGGGTTGCTGTGAGTCTGAGAGCTGCATTTGGTGAGCTCCCATCTCCAGGAGATTCCTCTTCCACTGCTGCCTGCTTCTTCCCTGGAATTCCTCTGGGCTGTTGAAGTTTTTGTTCTGGCACAGGCCTTCCTAGAATTGGAAACAGAGGCGATGAATTTAGGATGTGAGGAGTAAAATTTTTTTAAAAATTGAGGTTTTTTTTCTAGGTATTAGCCTATTTTCAGTCTTGATTATTTTTTAGAAGGTGCTATGTTATCAAAACCAGGGCTGGCCAAAATTTTTCCTACTGATATTTTTGCATTGGAAACCACTGAAATGATGTGATCTGAAGCATTTCCTGGGGCTGTGTGGGTTACCCTTGGGCTTTTTGCTGAAAAGATGACACTCAAGAAGTCTCAATGGGCCTGTGTATTTTCCTGTCATCCAGGTCAGATGGCCTGAAACTCCTGGCTGGAGCAAGGAGCACTTTGAGATGTGTTTTCTGACAGTTTGATATTGTGGTTTCAAAATGTTTTTGCTCAAATCTGTATCTAAAACACAGCTTGTTTCATGAGCAGAACATGCTGCTCCATCTCCCCCATTACAGTTTTGGAAGAAATCTCTTGTGTGCTCTAACCATTTTCTGTGGCATCAATGTGTCTCTCTTTGTAGACATTTTTTAAGTGTTGGGTCAGGTTGTTCCAGTGGGAATTGGGTGAAAGTAAATACATGTGTTAAAACTGGTTCTGTAGCTCTTGAACAGCAGAAAAAGAAAAAGAAATGCAAAGAAAATGGAAAGTGACTCTAAATAATATTTTCTTTTCTTCAGCTGTCTCCGTAATGAGATACAGTGCATCATCCTTTGGATTTGCTGTAAGTAGACATACAATTGAAATATTATCTACCCTTTCTTTCTTTTCCAAAAGCTTTCTCTGAATATGAAATACTGCATTTTTTTCTTATGATAAATTCATGGAAAAGTATGCAAAGTCAATAATGGATTAGAAAAAATGTTGTTAAAGTCAAGCATTGGAAAGGGTGGCAAAGATACTCTAATTATACTTTTTCAGTTTCTGCCCATTTAGTCCCATCCTGGAGTTGATACCCATTCTTATGCCTTATTGTTGATAGGTGTTATCCACCAGATATGGTTTTCTTATGCAAAATCTCTCAATTAAAAATCAGTTTTGTTGTTGAACTTGAGCCAAATTCTGAAGTTCCCTTCTGACCTCTTCCCATTGAAGCTGATGGTAAGACTGCTATTGACTTTGGAACGGCAGCTTTCCTCTCCAGTCCTTGCCATGACTTTCCAGATTAGTGGCAGAGCAAAAAATTCCTAACGACAAGCAATGACTCATATCAAATAATTTATCTTTAGCTTTCAATTTTGAAGGTCAGATTGACTCTGTAGGAAGTTTGACATGAGAGTGGAAGTTCTTACAGTGGGACAAACCTGATTTTCAGTGTTCCTGACACCATATCTGCATTAATTGGGAATACAAACATGGCAATTTTACTGATGATACAGAATAATAAATACATATAGGATGAAATCTAGGTGGGATTTTGGAGAAAAAGTTAATATTTTCTTGATTGGAAACAAAAGCTGTTGCAGGAAATTAGTGACTGCAGGAAAAAGGAATGCTTGACAGGCATTTTTCTATGCTTGTTTCTTTATAGTCTTTGCATTAGAATCATATTAGTATTTTAACTCTCAGAGTGCTACAGTGTCAGACTGGGATGTTTGTTTTTCTCTTAACTTCTTCACAGGTGATGGATTAAAAATTCAAATTTTTGTAATCCCTTGACTGACTTTCTGAGCTCGGAAGTGTATGATTTTGCAGTAATACAAGGTGAAAATGTGAAGATCAATTCAATAAACGTAAATCCTGCTTTCATTAAAGTGATTCATTTGAAGCTTCTTTGTGCCTGCATGGCAGGATGGTAAATGCATTGCTTTTAGTGCAGGGCACATTTGATGGCCCACAAAACAATTGCCTCTGTATCTCTTTCAGTTTGATGCCACCCTGGATGTTCTGTCGTCAGCGATAGTTCTGTGGCGTTACAGCAACGCAGCCGCTGTGCACTCTGCACACAGGGAGTACATGTGAGTACACTTCATTACTTCTGCCTCTGGCAGGGGCCTGCAGAGCTTTTCTTGTCAAGCTGGGAGGCTGCAGGTTCCAGAGCTTTGACAAAAGCATTTTGTCGTGTCAGCAAGCATCCCTTCCCTCTGCCAGCTCGCTGCTTGCTCCCAAACACGCAGCCCGTCCTTAGGCAAACCTCCCTGTGATCGTGATTTTCTGTTTCTTCTTAGCCAGCATAGCAATGGTTGGGCCTTTGCAATTCGTTTTCCCTTGCAGCACCTGTATCAAATGAACTGTATTTGCAGTCTGTAATAGATTTGTACATCTTTAATTTTCCATCTTACTGAATCATTCTCACTAGAGTATGCTTTCCAAAATTGTTGCTTGTGTAATATTTGTACTTCCCTTAACAAGTTTGAATATGAATCACTTCAACTTTTTTTTAAAGTAAGATTGTAGCAGTGATGTGTATCTTCTTTATGTTTACTTTGCAACCATTTTTTTTTCATATTTAATGCTTGCTGTATATATCCTATGGGGGGGGAAGTCTTTACATATGCAATGCAGTATTGATCACAATGGGAATTGTGCTCTGCATCACTGTGCAGCAGTTCTATGGGTGATTCATATGCTAGCTGGGAAGATCAGGTGGAGATTGACTCAAGAATTTTTCCAACTAGTGCATAAAGAAGATTTAAAATTCCTTCTCAAATTCTGAGCATCTAGTTGGAGAATTGCAGGATATTTGCCCGTTTTTGGTTTTTCTCAGTACTGCCATTGCTGGCAGCATCCAATCTGGCTGGAAAATAGTTCAACTTCCCCCTGGAGTGGACTGCAATTTTACAATAAAGGGGGATAAGGTAGGTTTTGTGCTGAAACACCTCTAATGATGGCCCTTTATTAAAGGGCAGCTTGATGAAACTGAAGGTTGCATAACTGGTGGGATCAAAAAAATCAAAACAACAAAGCACAAAAAATCAACAGCAAAAAGCCACACTGGAGAGTCTCAATCACATCTTCACAAACTTTTTCTAAAAACTAAGAAAAAGCAAGCAGTATTTCTACATGCATTAACTCAGGCTCATGCAACAGCTTGCCAGGGCTGTGAGTTTCTTTCTGGCAGGGCTCCATACAGAACAGTTTGGAATAAAAGGCCATAAAAGACTGCTGTGGCATTGATTCATAAAAATAAGGTCAGAAAAATGTGATTAAAATTAGTCTTCCACAGCTTTGGAGATTTTAACAGATATTTTCTTAGTATCTTGCTTTTGTGGGTGTCCACAGAGATTCCTGTCAACATTTAATGAACATATTTTTGAAATCTCCTTCTGTTGAGCTTTTTCAGAACCTTGTAAAGTATTTAGAAGAGAAAATAAATCCCAATACAAAAGAAGACTCAACATGTCCCTATGGCTGAGCCAGTAAAGTGAACAGGCGAAGTAGTAAACATATTTTCCTGTTTTTTTATGCTAATTTTTAATTTGGTTTCATATAATCCCTCTGCTTTACATAAGGCTAAATTAAGTCAGTGAATTACTTGCCATGCCCATGAGCTGAAGACAGCTAAGGTTACATGATGAGTTCAGTACCAAGTGAAAGAATGTTCCCATATGCTGGAAATATGAATCACTGGATAGTCAGCCTGGTTATCCCTCTGTTTCCAGAGCTGACAGGAGAGCCACCACAGCACTGACAGCAAAGAGATGGGGAGATTGTTGTGCTGCTTAAGGCAACTCTTTCTGTGTCAGGTTTTTGAGGCAGGCACATTTCTAATTTCCTGTTGCATTTAATCAATCTCTAGCTTGAAACAATGCATGTAATTATTTTTCCTCCTCGATGCTGGGAAAATGTTGCAATGACGCCTGCTGGCTGCTTGCTCAGCTTATGAATAAGCTAATACAATATCTTTGTATCATATCTACCTCCACCTGCTCTGCCACAATCCCTGTTTTCTGGGGGCCTTCTCCCTGACTCCTGGACAGTGTGGAGCAAATTAGTGTGGGTGCCTAGGTTGTGCTGTGTGTTATTCCTGGTTTTGTGTGCCTGGCCATATTCTGCCTTAGTGCAGTGGTCTGTTTACCAGAATAAAGAGAGTTTGCCAGAGTAGCTTCAATGTAGTTCTTTATTTATAGGTCTGTCTTTTATTGATTTAAAGATTACATTTTTCTGTGTACCCTAACATATCTGAAAAAATCCTCAGCTCCTTGGCAAAAGCCAAGTGGAACTGCCAATTAATTGTGTTTTGCAAATTTATAAAACTTCCCATTTCATAAACTTGACAGCAAGAGATTGATCCAAAATCTGTTAAAATCAGTGTAAAGCCTCTCATGGAAAGGCAGCGTTAGATTCAGTCCTAGCTCTTGGACGTCACTGAGAGAGAACATAAAGATAGACCGAAAAACACACCCCCAGGAAAAGGCACAGAGAATACAGCCTGACTCATGATGTGCTATGAATTAAATACTGAGAATAAAATGCTAAGATGTGAAAGAGATGTGTAGTCTTACTTAAGCTGCAGCCATATGGCAGTTGGAGCTGCAGCATTTGATGGGCTGGCACTCTGGAACTCTTGCTGTGCCAAGTTCTGCTAGGAGGAACCAGTGCACTTCCATTTGACTTCAGGGGAATTGGAGTGCTCAAACCATCATGCAAATGTGTCCTGCTGAGTTTAACTCCCTTTAATGTGTTTTGTTTTTATTAGATCATTTGGTTTCTCTTGTTTTCTGGGGTGAGATGAGAAGGTATTTTGTCAGTGTTCATATCTTTGGTTCATCCCTTCCTTCCAGGGTGTCAGCCACAACACAGAGCACAGAAGAGGCTGAACCCCTGGCAGTGGCACCAATCCTGTAGCCATTTGTTGATTCTCCAGATTGAGCCATCTCAAATTTCTGTGCTTTGACTGGGAGAATTGACAAGAAAACTCCTTTTGCTCTTTTTGCTCTTTTTTTTTCCTTTACTGACACTTCCAGGGCTCTCTCACCCTTCCTGCTGCTGTTCAGACTGCTCCTGGATGTATCATTGGTGCCCACATGAAATAAAAGCCGAGGCTAAAACATTCACCAGTATTGGGAATTAAATCACTGCAAAGTTGTAGGCCTGCTTGACTCTGCCTAGATGGCTCATTAATGAAAGAGCATGTGGGAGTGGGATGAATATTTGATGTTTTTTAGGAGAGTCCTTGAAAGAATTGTAGGTCTTGAGGCAAAGCAAGAGCTGGGAAGGACCAGAGATGTCTGGGAAGAGAGTCAGGGTACATGCATAGTTCATGAGTACTCGATCTGCTCAGTGCGATCTGCTAGGTTGTAAATTAACATGCAGGAAATGTAAAGGTGCTGAACAAGTCATCAAAAAGCAATGATCAAGGAATCAAAGAAAGAAAAGATTGCTGAAATAACTGGATAAATAATTTGAAATCTCCACTGAAGATGAAAATTTACAACTGAAATTGACTGAGACACTTAAGATGTGCGAAGAAATGTGAATGGTCCCCCTGGCTGCTCTCCATAATCAGTTTACATATTCTGCCTTTAGTAAACCTTTAACAACTTGGTAGCTTATTGGGTTGCTGAAGCAAATATAAATCTGTTGAAAGAACTTTATTGACGCTGGTTTGGCAAGAGTGGTTTTTCATGTGCCTAAATAAACTCAGTAAATAGCTGTAGAAGAAGTTTCTTAGTAGAAGACTGGAAAAAGATCTCATGAGATGTTGAACTAGTCACTGGCTATACAGCCAAGGGCAGCTTTTAGCTTCTGTTAAATTCAGGAATGAAGGACTTGGTTGGAGTGCAGGAACTGTGTCTGAGGAGAAAGTGAGAAATACCACCAAAAAAGGATGGATTGGAAAAACAGAATAAAAAAATTACATATACACAGCCATGTGGGAAATGTTAAAACCCAGAGATGATTCAGTACAGCTGGTTGGAAATGTCTTGCTTTTCTGTACAATGCAGTACAGGACCCAGTATCTGCCTATGCCTGTGGGATCCACTGATTCTGGGATTTTTGGCCACTGAGTTTTTTATTGCACAACCCAACTCTGTACAGCATATTTAAACCAGTGATTCTTGACAGTTGCAGCTGGTGTTTGCTATATATTATTTTTGTTGATGGTATCAAGTTAAATTCTGTGCTTCCCAGGAACCAGTCTGTCAACATCTTTCTTAAGCCAGTGCCAGAGTAAATAGGAAACCTGACTCATAATGAACATTCTGCATTATGGCAACAGCAGAAAACACGCATTTCTTACATCTCTTTCACTGTTTTGGTGTTGTGGTTTTGTTTGTTTGTTTGTGTTTTTGATAATGCATTTCAGACTCTGGCTATGCATTCCTTAATTACCTAATAAGAAAATTAAATTGTATCATGGACTAATCATTTTAAACACACTTGTGGTGCTCTATGTTGCCATGACATAATAAATAATGAAAATATGTCTTTTTTTTTATATATTGGTGGAGCTGTTGTCTGAAACATGAGCAGTAATACTAAAATTACAGGAGTGAAAATCTATAGTGTGGTAGACATGGTGCAGATTTCTGTCATACCTCCACCTGCTCCTGAGAAAGCTTTTTGCCAGAAGAAAAGAGTCATTTTTCAATTAGACATTACTTAAATGATTTACTGTGTGCCTGTAACTTAACTTTCATCTCCACACCTCAGCTGTGGCTGTGGACTTAATCCCTTCAGGAAGCTAAGCCCATTTGCCATGTGAAGAAAGCCTGTCCTGGAGATTTGCTTCCTAATAGGTTTCTAAATTATGGGGAGGATGAACAGGTTTACAAATTAGGGGGAAGTGAGAACAGGTGTTCTTACCTGTTTTGACATTCAGAAGAACACACCTGTAAGAGCTTAACCCAAGAATTTCTAATTTAGCTTCAGCTAAAAGCAATCTCTAAGAAAGATATTTGACTGCTCCTGAGCAGAGATGACATGAGAAATCACATGAGAAAATGTGATGAGACCCTAAGACAGAGAGAGCCTCTCCTTCCAAAGTAATTGTAACCCTTTTTTTCTCTCTTTC